TATATATATATATATATATATATATATATATATACTGTATAACTTTTTTTAATCCCTTTTAGAATTATTTTTTAATTATATCAACATTATTGTATAATTTTGAATATTTCTCAAACAATAATGATAGATTGAATTTGAGGAAAAAGTCATTTTCGGGCTTTTCTCAGGAAGTATCTCAATTTTTAGAAATTTAATAAAATGTATCTTTTTTTTTGTATAATATTTGTAATACTCCTGAATGATTTATCAATTTTCTTTCTTTTCCTTATGGAAATCGGTCCATAGGTTCATTGAACCAATTTAGTTATAATATTTTTATATTATTTTATAATATTATAACACAGTATAAAAACATTATGATTTAGTGTTTTTATACAAATTTTATAAAATCATTATGTTTATAATGTTTTAACACTATGTTTTAGTGTTTTTTTAGTATTGTTAAAAATCATATTAAAAATATTATAATTGAATTGGTTTTTAGAAAAACAAAAGACACAATTAGGGAATTCTAAATTCTAAAAATGGGTCAGGAAAGTCTTAAAAAGAAAAAAAATATATAATTTGCCCCAAGACTATATATATATATATATATATATATATATATATATATATATATATACTTTAAAGATTGTGTTTGAGAAGAAAAATACATGATTGTGGTTCAATGAAATTATTAGTAATAGCTTCTTTTCTTCTAGAAAAATCTAGAAAATTGATTTTGCCACAATAAATACAAATTTAAATGTTAATCCTTAGCTTATTTGACCTAAGGATCATCATTTGCATATTGCTAATCTGTCACTATGTATAGGAGGTGTACATGCAATTTTAATGTTCTCAGAGCGGATACGTATTATTATACCTGACATGGACGTATGCGCAAAGACTAACAGATGCACTCGCCTTCTTGTTTGTGGTTTGGTAAACCTCTTCCGCCGTTTCCGTTTGGTCTGGCGAAGGGACTCCGCACCGATCGATCGATCGATCGAGCTAGCAGTCTCCCCCTCTCCTAAATCTTTCTCGTATCGCACCTAGTCGTCCTCGTCGGCGATTTCTTGTCGATCTCGAACTCCATGGATTTGGTTGAAGCATGGCGATTGGTCGACTGGGGGCAAGAGGGGTACCCGACGTACGAGGACTTCGTGGCGCTGCCCTTCTTCGCGCTGTTCTTCCCCACGGTCAGATTCTTCCTCGATAGGTTCGTGTTTGAGGTCAGTCATTCGTGCCTCCTGCTGTTTCCGCTTCTGCCATGCCTTGATTCATGAAAACGTACGCTTCGGTCGGATTCTTCTCCCAAAAACGTTTCTTGACGTCGGTGTCTGTTCTATTTTTCTTAAATTTTGGTGTAATTGATTCAAGTTTGGTCTTTAATCTCTTTGCTAATCTCTTCTCATACTGAGAACAGCTGTAGGGACGCGTGTGGAGGAAGTTGCTTGAGCAAACGTTGGAAGCTTCTTTTTGTTTGGGTTTCTTTAACTTCGATTAGGGCTTTGTTTTTAGCTCCGACTTAATTATCGATAAAGATTTTATAGAAGTGTAAAAGGATTCATATGGAGCTTGCTTTTTCTCAAGGCTATCAAATTCCATTTTAGTTAGAGAAGCCTGGGTTAATGGATGGAGCAAGTGTTGTACAATGTTTGAGTCTTTTTTTTAACCTCCCGTTGACCATTTCTTTGTACTTAAACCTTTTTTTTGGTTGATGTTCCTTGATACTCATACTCTAATTTTGAATTTCTGTAACATAAAATGACTTTTGTGTCTTTTGGATAGCATTTTGTTGCATAAAAATTCATCTTAGTTTTATATCTTAAGATAATAATTAGCCAATTCTAGGTGTTTCTTATTCGGAGTGTCAACTCTGTTTCACCGGTATCAGCAACTTTTTCTCACCTACCTTTATTCCACGGAAGGCATGGAAATGGTTTTGGATATCAGGACATGAATAAAATTGTCAAGCACATAATGAAAATTTTGGAAGGCTGTAATTACAGATTTGGACTACAATTGAGTCTTTTCCTTCCAAGGAAAAGGCTGCATATGTTGATTCACTTGAAACCCTGCATTGGTAGGAGCCTTGTGCTCAGGAGTCAGGAACCAGGACCAACCTTTTTATATTTAATTTGAAAAGGCCAGAATAGCTGTGGCTTTTAGCACAGAGGTACTAAGGTTATGTAAAACTAGGCTGAATTGAATTGAATTTTGCTAAAAGGTTTGAAGTGGCTTAATTATTATCTCCAATCTAAAGCCTTTATGGTATGACTCCTAAAAGAGATCTAAAGTTTTTCCATCTTTTGCTGACATAACTATTTTTTTTTTTTGAGTAAGGACATGCACCCAATGGTTTTGTACATGGAGCCAAACACTGGTCCCTCAATTATTATATACTGTACTAGTTATGTATTTTTCCATAATGTATTGACCATAACCAAGAACATTAGGATTTTGATTATTGTTTTATATTTCTCCGTAATGGTATACCATGGTACACTATACCATACTGACAGATACCATATCAGTCTGAACACTTACAAAAAAACAACACGGATGAGTATTTACTTAATACATCTTGGTTGATTGATATTAGCTGGTTTTAAAGAGAGTATTACTGAGACTAAATCATGTTATTCCACCTAACATGTGAGAGATTCACAAATAGTAGAATAATCAGACTTATGCTAAAAAGATTGAAGAACGTAATAAACACTAAAGACTAGATAGAGGATAGGATGCGTGGAAATATGGCCTTTGCCTTCTGGAGCTCCTATGAGTATATTAAACACATACTGCCAGGAAGTTTTTCTTCTGTTTTAGATACACACTTATATGCTCAATGTTAACACTGGGATCAATGAACTTGTAAGTACATCGCCGTGTGTTTGGGGTGCCAATACCACATTCTACTGTTTTTTTCTTTTTCAATGGTTCTAATTATGTCAACATGAGGAATAAATCAGCGCCATCTGAATTAACTAGGTATTGTAAGAGACAGTTGATTAATTCTATTTAAATTCTAGTTTGGTATATGTGTTTCATTAAGCTGAGGAGTTTGTTGAATATTTGATATCAAACTGTTGGTCATAATTTAAGCAATTTCTGGAACAATTAAACACAAAAAATAATTGTTTTCCCTGCTACATGTAAATTTTGACCAATCTAGTCATGGATCATCTGTTTAACCTATTATGGATTCATGCTGGTACTGATTTGTGGATTATCTTCTCTTCGTACTATCAGGTACATGTTGCTTATTATGTGTTGGATAATCTTTTTTTTTTCTTATAGAAATTAGCAAAGCGACTTATACCACAAAAATCAAGTGAAAAGCTCAGCACCGGAATAGATAGCAGGAGAAAAAAGATCAATAAATTTAAGGAGTCAGCTTGGAAGTTTGTTTATTTTCTTTCAGGCGAACTTCTGGCTCTATCTGTTACATATAACGAGCCCTGGCTCACCAATACTAGATACTTCTGGGTAGGGCCAGGGAATCAGGTCTGGCCAGATCAGAAGATTAAGTAAGATATTTTTATAATTATTTGCTTGTTAGAAATAAGCATTCATTGATGTAGCATCGTATTGTATTAACTTTAACAATTTATCATTTCCTGATTTCCAGATTAAAACTTAAATTTGTCTATATGTATGTTGCTGGCTTCTACACATATTCAATTTTTGCACTTTTGTTCTGGGAAACAAGAAGATCAGATTTTGGAGTATCAATGTCTCATCACATGGCAACTGTTGTTCTCATTGTGCTGTCTTACATATTCAGGTTAGTCTTAATGATGGAGTAGGCAGGGTTATCCGCTGCCATTTTCTATTTTGATCATCCTGTAAGGCCATTTACTTCATTGGAATAGTTTGAGATCGCGCTGAACTGCTCATGTTTTTGGATGACTTGGCTAGCTTAATTAATTTGAATTCTTATGATGACTTAGTTGACTTGTTTTGATATTATAAGTTTCTTTGACCTCAAACAGGTTTGCTCGTGTTGGTTCAGTTGTTTTAGCCATTCATGATGCAAGTGACGTATTCTTGGAAATGGGGAAAATGTCTAAGTATGGCGGTTGTGAGCTGCTTGCTAATGCAACATTTCTTTTATTTGTTGCTTCATGGATAATTCTTCGTCTTATATATTATCCCTTGTGGATCCTTCGAAGTACAAGGTTAGCACCAGTTTCTTATGCAAGTGCTATCAAATGGTAATGTTTTATGGAAATTCTGGTCTGCTAGCAGTTTCAAGTTTTATGGACATGAACTAAGGACATGATGGCAGTTGGTGCAATCTGTTCACGTCACTGTAACTTTTGAGCCTCAAACTAAAGGAAAACCAATTTGCAAGTAGGGACTCTGTTATTCTGAATTAAGAGAGAATTACTTGCTCATTTTGTTATAGATGTGGGATCTATTGGGTGGCTATCTTGAAGGAGAATGTGAGATCTAAGGGGATAACTTAACCTCACCAGAACTTTTTAGCCTCAAACTAAACGGAAATCTATTTGCAAGATTAGGGATTCTGTTATTGTGACATAAGAGAGAATCACTTGCTCATTTTGTTATAGATGAGGGATCTATTGGGAGGCTATCTTGAAGGAGAAGGTGAGATCTGAGGGGACTACTAAGTTGTTGAACTCCTCTGACACATCTTCGTACTTCTGTTCTCTTTAATAAAAATGAAGGAGAATGGAGAAATAGTTTCGATAAATGGAGAGCAAGTCTAAGAAGCATGTAGATTATTTATATGATCCTGGATGTCTTTAATAGACCTTTATGCTGAGATGACTTAGGAAACCTTTTCTTTCTTGTTCATTTATTTACAATCAATGTTTAATTTACTTATGTATGAATTCTGGATACTTCAAAATAGTGTTACACACACAACCAAAAAACTTTCGGATCGGAGTCTTTTTTTGACGTTAAAACTGGTAGCATAAGGTGTAGACTCCCTAAAGCATGAGTATATATCACAGATTTGCAGATGCTTACCATAACGAGGCTGACTCTTGTCATTCTTAAAGTAATGAAGAATGTAATGGGATCTTTGCTTAGAATGAGAATAATTCTAGTTAACACTTAGAAGATGCAGATTGACAAGAAAAGAGAGCAGTTAATTGAAATGATCATTAAATAATTGGAAGAGGTTGTGGAAATTATCAATCTAATGGAACAGAGTCTTGCTGGTAATTGTCAGTAAAAGCAGATGTTATATTGTAGTTCAAGCTTCTCTCTTAAAGGTATCTTGGCTCAGTAGTTGTCAAAGGAAAACATATATACATCAACTGCTGAGGTAAATGTAAGCCTTTTAATGATTTTGGCCTTGAAGATTATTCAGGATCTTTCTATTGCATTCAGAATGCATCTTGGAGAACATAGCTGTTAGCCGAGCATTCGTTTTCG